TAAAAGCTATATATGTTAATCACGTAAGACTTTCTGGACACATTTTGACCCAAACTTTGAAGGAAGGACTTTGTCTTGCTGGTCATCTCTTTGAATATGTGATCTTTACCTCTGTTTCTTGTTGATGTGTTTCATTTTGCACTTGTCTTTTCAGCTTCTGCTCCCTAATATTCTTCTTGGAACCTTTCTTCCAAGATTATTAATACTGCTTATCAAGCACAGTCACCTTTTAATCACCTTCTGATGGTCCTCTCCCTCTCAGTAATGTTCCCGGCCTTGTCTTCTGCTTCTGCTCCAGGCATGGGTAGCTTGGTCTCTCCCTAGATGGCCCATTCCACTTCTGACCATTCATAAGTCTTTCCTAATACAGAGCTAAAATACGACTTCTCATCTCTAACCCTGCCCTATGAGGCTAACAGTCTGTCTCTCTAACGCCGTGCTTCCTGAGGTGTCTGAAGATGGTTATTGTTCCTGTCTACCAGCCCCCACCCCATGTTTCCGCTCCCTTTAGCTAAATGTCCTCATTTCCTTCTAGCTTCTCTTTACTGTAGTTTTTAGTCCCTTCACCCTCCCTGTACTCTCTCTGGAATTTTTAAAAAACCTTTTAGCAAAATATTTTCAAAGTCTGATCAAGTGTGTATGCGGTATATCAGCTGCTCGTCCTGCTCCAGGATCACCTTGATTTCTTCAGCCCTCCCCATTTACCGTGGTTTTAAGGACTTTCACCAAGCCCCTTTGCTGTGAATGTGCTCCCCTTTGAAAGTCTTTTCCACGGTGGTGCCCAGACCATGAATTTCCAAATTTCCAGTTGTGTCTCCAATGTTGCAAAATTATAGTGGGCTTTTTTTTTTTTCCTTATAATCAGAACGACATAGGCTTCTCTCTGTTTCTCTGTACTCCTCCTATCCCTGTGATTCTGGCCAGATTACCTCACAGGGCTCAGACTCAGCTGTGAGTTTTCCCAGTGCCCTGAGATATAATCCATCCAAATGAAAAAAGCGTGAGCTTTCCTGTGGGCGAGCCTCAGCTGTGGATGCTCAGTCTCTTCACTTCACAATATGTATTCTCCTTTTTCCAGTTTGAAAATGTTACATGTTGAAGACAAAGAAAAAGATAAGGGTCTCCACCTCTCTGTTTCCAGTTTACATCACAGCATCTGGCCCGCAAGCAGCAAGCCTAATACTTACTTTTTTCTTCTTCTTGTTCAGTCGCTAAATCGTGTCTGACTCTTTGTGACCCCGTGGATTGCAGCACACCAGGCTTCCCTATGCTTCACTATCTCCCGGAGTTTGCTCAACCTGCTGACATCCCGCTGTCATCCAGACCTCTTTCCACCTGAATTCTGTATTTGCAGCTGCTTATTGGAGCTGGAGATGTGTCCATCCTTCTAGCCTAGACCATGGCTCCATGGGTTGTTGTATTCCGAGCCCTTAGCACACTGTTAAGCACGTAACAACAAATGTTTAAATGAATTAACAGATAAGCGCCTGAAATCCCAACACTATCCTGTTGTCCTGTCCCTATGCCCTCTGCTTTGCAAGTAGCCTTACCTTTACACACTCACAGACTCTTAAGACTTCACACAGTGTACAGAAAGCTCCCTGTTCCACATCGGACTTTACAATCGTGATGTCATCTTTGGATATTCTGTTTCCCATTATATTCACATAACTACCAGATTCTTTTAATTTTTCTTCACTGAAATTTCCCCATACCTCTTTCCCTTCCCTTTTAAAGACTTCCCCTTTATCCTCAGCCTAAGTCAATTTCTCTGTATGTGCCACTTTTAGAGATTGTTGAAACACCTTTTAGAGATTGTTGAAACACCTTTCTGTTTGTCCTCTGTCCTCCTCCTGTCGTCCATGCCGTAATTCCTAACACACTAACTGATTTACTAATCTAGCCTCTATAACTATTGTGGCTGTCACTTTGTTATTCTTTGCTTAACAAACTAGAGGCTTCCTTTACAATGAATCTTCTTCCAGACTTTCCCAGACACTCAGTGTCACCCACCTCCGTGAGTATCTTATTTGCTGATGTACTCTATATAAATTTTTTTTCTAGTTAATTTGAAACTAGTAGTGCCTTCAGAACATACACGTTCGTTACATCTGTTCCTGTATGTGTGTAAATGGGTATATACATACCTGCTTTTTTAGTTTCATCATTCTGAGAGTGCCCTCCCTGGACCTCTATTCTATCTAAATCCTGCCTCAGGTAGTCTGCTTTCCTGTAAAAAAGCATTTCGAAAAAAAAAAAAAAAGCATTTCGTGACTACCTTCAATTATGTTTTTCCTTTAGGAAAAAATATTTAAATGTAATTGTTCTCTCATTGTTTAATGTATAGTTTTATGTCTCCAAATTGATTATATTTAATTCCTTAGAATTAGGTTCTTTTTGCTCCCAAATATATAGCGCAGAGACAGGCACGTAGTAGGGCCTAAATAGATAAAGGTTGGTCTGTTTTTTTCTAAGGCATAGCACCTTTAATATCTCCCCATTTCTCACCTTTATTTAGTGTTGTTCTTTAGGAACTGCTGTCACCTCAACCCCAGCAGCCTTTGAAAAGGCCGGATGGCTGCCATCAGCAGAAGCCTGCAGATAGTTTTGAGTTGAATACTGATTTCCATCAGTGAAAGGCCTTTTCCCTAGAAACTTTTTAATGATATATATTACCATATGGTAAGGGCATAGGGAAGTATTAATCTTTGGGACCTGGGCTTGCAGAACTTTTTGCAACTAAACAACATGAATGCTTTCTAAATAGTAGTAGTTTTTGAATGGAAATAAGGCTTCCATATACAGCATCCATTTGCAGCTCTAACTATGCACTGTGGACTTACTTATGTGCTGTCTTCCTTTGACCAAAAACCACTTTTCTTTAAACCTGTATTCTTGGTCATGGGCAAATGTATCAAAAGTTCTTTTCTGTCCCAGGACCAGATTCAGGGAGTCCCATGGTAGCCAGAGAAAGGAGAGGAAGCTAAAATAACATGAGGAGGACTTGGAGACAACGCTGTTGCTACAAGTCAGCTGCTGGGCAATTCTAATTAAGTTCCTGTTGGAATCCCTATAGCAGTTCTTTGCTGCTTTCCTGGCTTAGGTACTGAGAAGTTTGTGAATCATACAGCATATCAGACGCTATGCTAAACACGTGAGGCCTGGCTTTCCATTGCTTGCCTATCATCTCGGTGGGCAGTACTTGAACACATGACAGATTTCCAGCAGGACAAGCCAAAAGCAGGAACAACAGATCCTCAAGGAACCCACAGAACAAAGTGTTCCTGAGTTCCCATTAATTGTTTCTGTAGCTATCTGCACCTGCTCCATGCCAGGAGCAGTGGTGAACATTTGGAATATAGTAGCAAACAAGGTAGAAACTAAAAATTAGAACTCTTTGTCAACCCCACATTTATACTACTGACTGCATAATTTTGGCAAGTAACCATTTTTATCTAAATATCCTAAAGGAGAAGACTTTGCCAACCCCTATTTGACTTATGCTTGTTGCAGAATGTTAATATTAAACAACAGAAACCATCATATTGGTTCAGAAAACTTGAAAGGGCAGCAATAGATTTTGTAGTCACTTGTTAACAAAGGGAAGAGCCGTATAGCTTTTCAAAGAAAGAAATGACAGATTTCTAGTGGTGCTCCTCAGCTTGGCAACAGCCCTGCCCACCTTCCCACTTTCTGTTCCAGAAAGTGGAATGGGAGACAGAGATGCCACTGGAGAGCTAAGAGTGACACTGCAGACCTTCTGTGAGAAGGGCTCAAAGCTTTAAGTTGTTTTTAGTAATGGGAATCACCCTGCTTTCTCAGCCTTCTCAGAGACTGAAACTGCATTTCTGAGGCGGGTTACTCACTGTGGTTATAGGTCTGCTGAAACCGTTATGAGATTCCTGACCTTGGCCTTATGAATGCCATGTTCTAAATTACTGAAAAGCCAGATGACCAGTTGAAGATTTTTGTGGTACTGGCATAACATAGACTATTGTGAGCCATCAACCCCAAGCTCTCAGGTTGTCCATTGGGCAGATATCATAGTAGGAAGCATTCCATTTTGTTATTTGTTTCTGTACCCTGTATACTTCTTAGAAGGAGTAGAAAGAACTGTCACAGAACACAGTGTAAGACTCAGCCATTTATTCAAAATGGCAAAAGTTAAGTAGTAAAGAATTTGTTTTTTAAAAAAAGGAAAGCAAAAAAAAATTCAAAAAGGAAAGCATTCTGTAAAGAAACTCAGACTAATTTTGCCCTAAGCTTTCTTTCTAGTTAGGCATAGAGGAGAGCTTGTAAGGTTGTGTAACCCTACAGTGTATAGTAATGGAAACACACTGACTGCTCAGGAGAGAGAATTTTTACTAGGCCATTGCACTGAGAAACATCCATGGGAGTCTTTACATAAGAAACGTTAGCAATATAATAAATATCTTGATAACCATTTTAGGAAAAAATTACACTAGCAAATTGTTATATCTTATTAGCCATTAGTGAAAATGAAAGCCTTCATGTGGAATTAGGATAATTTTCCACTAAACAAATCATTGTTCAGTTAAGGTAATTAGTTGTATGGTCTTAACAACTATATTTCATATGTTATTTGAATAAAGCTTGAAGAATCCTATATATTAAATAATATATCATAATAAACTTCATCTTTGCCATCTATGTCTTATATCTAGAGCAAGCTGGTCCTTCCCCCCACCCCGGCCAAAAATACACATAAAATAGCCATCTTCATGCTCACTAGTGACAATCTATGACTGCCTACCATCTAGCTTCTGCCGTTCTTCTCAATCCAGTTTTTTATAAAAGCTGGATGACAAAAATGATTATATTATGAATTCTGAAGATGTTGAACGGCATTTTTGTGAAAATGGACTACAGAAGTGCCTCTAAGCAGAGCTAAAACTTTTCTCAGAAAGCAATGGTTGGAGTCACTCAAGTACTTGAATGACTGCGTAACTTTTAATAACATGCTGGCACTTGAATTTCAGGTACAGTGGTTGAGGAAAGCAATGGTTCTGATGAGATGGAGAATTCAGATGAAACAAAAATGTCAGAAGAGATATTGGCCTTGGTGGATGAATTTCAACAGGCATGGCCCCTGGAAGGCTTTGGAGGAGCCCTGGAGATGAAGGGACGGCGTCTGGACTTGCAGGGCATACGAGTACTGAAGAAGGGCCCCCAGGATGGAGTAGCCAGAAGTTCTTGCTATGGAGACTGCAGAAGCGAAGATGATGAAGCAACAGAATGGGTAAGAGTTTGCCAACTCAGTTCTTACCAATTTGTAGCCCAGGTTCTTGAGAGTGGGTAGGGGGCAGCACTCCTAATTTGCCAAGGGTAATCTGTTGCGTGTGTGGCACTCGACTCCGTGCCCTAGTCAGCCTTCACATGAGAATTGTACTGCTGGAAGCATTTCATGTGTCTTAGGCATTGCTGGCTTTTAGAGGAAATGGGTGTGAAGCCACGCTCAAAGCCTGCAGGCTTGGAACAGCCCAGTTCAAACATCTTAAGTTTTAGTTTCCTCTGTATCCTTTAAGGCTAGGTTATTTTGTTTATTTCACTAAACATTTTTCATCTAGACCTTTAAGAATTAAACTGAAGGAAAGAACTTAACTCTTACATGGGACTGGTTGTTATTTTTGTTTTTTAATTGGAGGATAATTGCTTTACAGTGTTGCATTGAGACTGGTTATTCTTAAAGCCACCAATACACACAGCCACAGGCAGATATGAAAATTTATCTCATTTGTCCCTAACATGTTTTCATTTCCCAGATCACATTCCAGGTCAAACGTGTAAAGAAACCCAAAGGAGATCATAAGAAAACTTCTGGGAAAAAGGTAGAATCAAGTCAGGCAGAAAATGTACATCGTAACCAAGGAAACTTGGAGATCACTGGCCCAAAGGTGGCATCTCCTGGGCCACAAGGTAGATTGGAATGTTTAATATGCCAGTTTCTTCTTTCAGATTTCAGTGTTTAAGTTCTCACAAAGGGTGTGTTCGTGACTGCAAGTAGATCACATGAAAAGGTAATTGAGCCAAGTGAACAGGAAGCCAGTCATTGGTATAAAAAGTTTGTTTTAAACATTAATTTGGCTTACGTTCTTACCATCTTGAACTTAAGTACTCTATTAATTCTTAACTTGACAGCTTAGTTTAATATATAAAAAAAACTTGGGGTTTGAGACAGACTCCCTGGATTCAGATAACCAGTTTTGCTATTTAATTCCTTTGCCTCATTTTTCTTATCTATAAAATGGGGATAATTGCATCTGTCTTATAGAGTGGTTGTGTGTATTCTATAAGGTTATACATATAAAGTGCTTTAAATGAACTGAACACATAGGGCTCAATAAATACTAACTATCTAGTAATTTTTTATGTGTTAGATAGCTCTTTAAGTATTAGATAATGCTTTGGAACTACTCCCCAGGGAAAAAAATGCATTTACATTAAAATTTGGCATGTACTTTTAGGGTTCATAGTTATCCCAAAGTCTGTCTTTGGACTCCAGGCTCAGGGCCATTGCCATGAGTCCAGTTGACTTTCTTTTCCAGAGTGAAACAGTGGTGATAGAATTTCTTTTAAGAGAAAAAAATTCTCCTCTTTAATTTTTTTTAATCCTTTTTTAAAGGATATTTTCACTGTGTTACATTTGAAAATTCAGGATAACTGCATGAAAATGTGTCTAATTTAAATTGTATTTACCAAAGCTGAAAGCAGAGAACACATAATAAAATATAAGGAATGAGGTAATCTTAGCTAAATCTCAGAATGATCTGTGACTTGAGAAAAATACTAAAGAGGAAAATTTAAATGGATAGTTACATACTTTAAGGTGAAAGCACAGAGAAAAAGAAAAAAGTAATTCTGGCATCAGAAGATACTACAAAATAGACAAAGAATTGAAACAGTATTTTTTTGCAGAATATATATTTTTACGAATACTTGATAAGCAAAGGATATCAGTGTCATTTAAAGAGCGCCTCCAAATCGATAGAAAAAATACAGCATTTCAGTAAAATATGTGCACAGTACATAGGCATTTCACCACATACACATCACACACACACACACACACACACACACACACACACACGGCCTCTCAGCGTGGTAAAATGTTTAGCCTCTCGAGCAAGGAAATGCAGACATAAAATGTAACATGCCATTTCTGCTTGTCAGATTGTCTTTGTGTAATACACAGTGAGATTTAATAAAATGAATTTTGGGATAGTTTGACTAGATACATCAGAAAAATTTTAAATATACCAACAGCTCTACTTCTAGTAATTTACCCTAAATAATCTTATAAATGCAACAGATAGACGTATAAAGATACTGATCATCATGCTGCTTATCATAATAAAAATTTTAAAAGTACCTAAATGATGACAGTTGCCTAAATAAACTACAGCATGTTCTTGCCCTGTACTGTGCAACTAAGATGTCTGTAATTTAGTAAGTGAACAAAAGCACTTTATAAAGTAGCATATATAGAAGATACATCAATTTTACACTAAAACATCATAAATGATCATCTCTGGGTGCTAATAGGGCTACAGGTGATTTTCATTTTTTATGTTTTTTTCCGTTTTTTAAATTTCTTAAATAAGCCTATATTACTTTTACAAACAAAAACTAAAAATTTCTTATAAAAGTGACAATTAAAACTCAGTATGTTTGAGAGGATAGGAGAGCACTTAGGCAATTTTAAGTGGATTCAAATAGGTGGGGCTGAGTAGGGCACTGAATATACTTGCAAATAAGATCATAAAACTATTCACTTTCACTCATGTCCAAAGTTCTATAGCGTGGAAGAGGTAAGAGAAGACTGGAGAGGTTCAGTATCCCAATTTTCAACCAAGTATAGATTCTGTCCACTGCCAAGTGATAAGATTTGTGATAAATCCTGACATAGTGGTAAAGCAAATGATTAAACCAGTCCTTTGTGAGCCCATGGGGGAAGAGTCTCAGAGATCGTTAAGGATCATTGTAGATTTTCTAAGAATTAATAAAACTAATAATGCATAATTTACTTCATTTCCCACTTTGGTGAGGTCTACTAGACTAGAAGACCAGGGAAGTGCCATATATATAACATAACTGGATTTAAGCAAAGCACTTAACAGAGTGTCTTATGATATCCTTGTGAATACCGTGGCGAGAAATGGGCTCAAAGGCTCCCCAGTGCCTGCAGCATAAAGACCACACTTTCTAGCCTGGCACACAGGACATTTACAACCCAGCCTCTGTCTCCCCTGCAGCACCATTCCCTGAACTAGCCATGCTCTTGTTTTACCTCCTTGTCTTTGCACGTGCTCTTCCCTCCACCTAGGATGCACTCCGCCACCTCAACGGTGCCCAGACGTCACTCAACCTCCAGCTCCAGTGCCATCACTTCCTTGGTACCTTCCGGCAGCATCCGTTTCTTTCTCCTCTGTACAGCTGTCCTCTGCCTTCACTGTGGCTCTCATCCTGTTGTGTTCTAATAATTCATGTCTACCTTCCTCACTAGACTGTGAGCTCAAGGGCAGGCCCTTTTATTTTTCCTCTCTGAATCCCTAGTGTCTTAATACAGTTCCCAGTCCCATATAATAGCTGCTCAATAAATACGGCCTCACTAACTCAATGGACATGAGTTTGATCAAACTCCAGGAGATGGTGAAGGACAGGGAAACCTGGCATGCTGCAGTCCATGGGGCTGCGAAGAGCCAAACATGACTGAGCGACTGAACAACAATAAAATACTTTCCAAGCGAATTTCTTACACAGAAAGGAAAAGTAAGTTTTATTGTGAAATTTATGGTTTAATTTTGTTATTTATTTAAACAGGGTTCATTTGAAACTCTTCCAAACTTTTTTTTCTCTTTTATTAAAATCTAAATCTAAAGCCCTGCCTCTATCTTAAAAGTTTTCTATTACTGGTAAATTCCTACAGTATAAAAAGAGTTAATACATTACCAGAGTTCTCCTTCCTGTCCATTCCATTGGAATTTCTTCAGAAGAATCCTTCCCAGATAAGACTGAGTTCTGCTCTTTTCTTGGGGGCTTTATCCAAGTAAAGAGCCTACACCCAAAAGGTGGTACCTTTGAAGGGTATCAGTAAGCAGAGCCTTCAAAGTCCCAGGAAAGCTTTAAACAGCATGACTGGCCGTGCACACGTTGTAGTGAAACAGACCTGGATATGAGTCACAGTGCTGCCCCTAGTAGCCAGGTGGTCCTGGGCAGGTCACTTGATTTCTCTGAGCCTCCATGTTCTCATTCGAGAAACAAGGATTAAGACCTGCCTCCTGAGGCTACAGATGAAAAGCATTTAGCACAGGACCCGAACAGACAACACAGTAAGCGCACTGGAAATAAATGATAACCTTTCGTTGTCATCGTCATTCTGTATCCTACTGCTTTTCTTTACAACAGGGGTTCTTCACCAGGAGTGACTTTGCCTTCCCAGGGAACACTCGACAGTATCTGGAGACGCTTTTGGTTGTCCTGTCTCAGGGAAGGTCCTGCTGACATCTGTGGTGTAGAGGCTGGGGATGCTGTGAGACATCCTCCAGGGCACAGGACAACACTCACAGTGTTGGTGGTGCCCGGTTAAGAAACCTGCTTTAGAGACGTATGCTTCTCCTGACTTAGAGTTGTCTTTATAGAATCAAAATGTAGAAAGGTGAAAATTAAGTTTGGTAAAATGTTAACACTGAAGAGTATTCTAACCCTCATCTCAGTCTTAAATCCAACGAAGGACTCGTTCATTTTTACTTCATCATCTTTGAAAACAAGGCTTTCCTCAACGATGATAGTTATTCCTATTGCTGTGAATGACAAGACTTTTGTTAGTTCTCTAAGTGGTAGAAATTCTAGACTAGAAGGATGACTGGCACCTCCAATACACCAGTCTGAGTGAAGTAATCACCAGGGCGTAAGACACTATATGTGTCTTTGGGTCTTTGCCATTGTGCTGACAGACGATGTACTTTCCTTCCAGGAAAAAAGCGTGACTACCAGAGTCTGGGGTGGCCCAGCCCGGACGAGTGCCTCAAGCTCCGCTGGGTGGAGCTGACAGCCATCGTGAGTACCTGGCTTGCAGTTTCTTCAAAAAACATTGAGTGAGTATCTTAAAGCTCTCCCTCTTTCATGTCATTTGTGTACCAGTGATCACACTGGGCCCCAGCTGACTTTAGGGATGCCCTTTGTTAGCAGCTACCAAAGAGTCATCCTTCCTGGGGTTGGTGGTTCAGAGGATACCATGGATGGACTCAGCTCACGGTCCTGATAGTCTGTGTACCCTCTTCTCTTTGCCTTCTCCCATACTTTGTAAGCTATCTATCTAGTCACAGATGACTTGGTTTAAATTAAAGACTGGATCTCTCTCCATTAAAGCACAAAACCTCACTGACATCGTGTGCTTGAAAAGGGAGCCAGAGCAAATCCAGATCTGTGAGCACCTACCGAGACACAAGCAGGCAAGGTTGCCTCTATGGTAACTGCTTTTTCCTCCCCGATTGCTCTTTCTCTTTTGTTGCCCCCCACTCCTTTTTTTTTTTTTTTTACCTTTTAAGCGTTGCAGTTCCCCAAGATTTACCACTAAACCTTATTTTAAAAATCACTCCTAGTTAGAGTGCTCTATTCCCAAAACTTCGGTCACTGATATGTTGACAACTCCCTGATCTGAATCTCCAGACCAGACCTTTCTTCAAATCCCTCAAGTTGTCTCTCCAGTTGGCCTCTCTGCCTAGATCTCTCTCTAGTACCTCAAGCTCAGAAAAACTAAACTCATCATTTTCTTGTCCATTCTCCATCCCCCCTAAAATCTTTGTTCTGTTTGTTTCCTATTTCTTGTTCTTAGTAAATAGCTCCCAGAAGTGCTTAAGCCAGAAATCTAGGAGTTACCCTTACCCCTCCAGTCCAGTCCATTACCAGTTCTTGTCACTTTTACCCTTTGAGTATTTTTCAAAACTACTTGCTTTTCTTCATCCCTGTTGCTGCTTTATTCATTCTTGCATCTCCTCAATCCATTCTCTCCATAGTACTCAGAATTGTTCCTCAGATGGAAGTCAAATAATTCTTAAAATGCTCTAACAACATGTAAATATTGCTGTTCACAGTGGCCCGCAGAGCCCTTCATGATCTGCTCCCCACGTGTCCTTCCATCTTCAGCTCTGCGCTCCCTCCTGCCAGGCCTTCACACATGGTGCTGCCTTTGCCTGTGGTGGTGTTCTCAGCATCTTCTCCCAACCTGCTTAATTCCTATCCCTCCTTCTGGTCTTAACACCTTTCCTCCTCAGGAAATCCTTCATTAACTGCCTCCTTCCTCGATCGGCACAGAGGAAATGTACACCCCCTCTAGTAAACTGACACTGTACTATGTTTTTATCTTTTATAACTCATCACATCTGTAGTAACTGACTATCACAAGACAATGAGCATCATAACAGTGGGAACTGGGTATGTTTTGTTAATTATTATAACTCTGATATCTGACATGTGATATAGGCTCTGAATAAATAATGAATGTTTGCATATTAATATATGGTTAACTCCTAAGTAGCTAGAAGCAAAATTTGCCAGTGTCAAATTGCCACATCAGTATATATGATAGTGTAAAACATTTGGCCAGTATATAGCAGGAAAATGACCACTTTGGAACCGTGAAGGGAAGTGCTTCACAGATCTGTGTAACATTTACGGTCTAAACTTTAGGGAACTTTTCCTGTGGGGACAAGTATGCCTCTGTGCACAGAGGGAAAATGAAAGACAGGAACCACTTCTGGTTGTTTATCACTGTCTGTACCCTGGAAAAGAAACCCTAGAAGAAAACCTACCTGGTTTAAAACCTCCCCAGTGAGAAAAAGTGGCCAACAGCAGTGAGGAAATCAGACGCCTGTTGCATAGAGAGAAGGCAGCTTGAGAAAAGACTGAGTTCAGGACTCAGATCCCCACACTGCTGCTCTGACCTAGGGGACAACCTCTACTCACATATTCAACAGACAGTCATCACCAGGCACTGGAGTCCTTGTACCTATAAAGTGAGAGACCAGACTAAATATCTGTTAAATCTCTTGCATTTTGAGATTCTGTGGTTCCAGACAGTTTTATTTATATAGTGCAGTTATGGTCAGCAAATGATTAATACTTTGTCCCCACCCACTTAACTTTTCCATGGCTAAGGTGGTCCTTTCCGATTTTCAGCATCACAGAACACATAGACTTTGCCACTCCAATACAGCAGCCAGCGATGGAACCTGTTTGCAATGGCAATCTCCCCACGAGCATGCACACCCTGGACCACTTGCAGGGGGTTTCCAACCGAGCCAGCCTCCACTACACGGGGGAGAGCCAGCTAACAGAGGTGAGTGTCAGCTGCACTCAGCCGGTCTGTACAGTTACGATGCAGCTGATAGCGAAAGCGCAGGTGGCCAGGCCAGGGTTTTTTTGCCTTTTTCAGATGACTGTTGTCTAGATGGCTTTAGGAAAAGCCTGATTTCTTTCAGGCCCTGTGACTGAACGTATGCTTTTTTTATGACCAGGAAATTATAATTCTGATTCATTCTTCCAGATGGGTAGCATTCTGCTTGTCACTGGACAGAGGCTCTTTGTGAGAAATATTTGGGACAGTTAATTCTCCTGCTGACATTCTTAAGGGAGGGGAGGAGGGCAGGCCCAGCATATATCTAGCAAAGAGTGTACCCAGAAGAATAATCAGAAAACATGCCACAAATATCCAACAGTAGAGGATGTGTTAAATAAGTTTTGGTGTAGATATAAGCTAGTATACAATAAGAGCCACTAAGAAAGATGTGTGAGAAATACATTTATTGACATGAAGAAATTTCTTGATTGTATTGTGTGAAAATGTAGGTGATAGTTACAGTGTGATCCCATAGTATCCAGTCTGTGAGAGTAACGCTATATGTGTACATAGAACAATATCTGAAAGATGCGTAAGAGGTGCTAACAGTGGTTGTATCTGGGTGATATGATTACAAGCGCTTTTGTTTTCTTCATGCACTCTACTTTTTGTAATGCTATAATGAATGTGTTTTCTTGCCTATAACCTTTATTAAGTTAGAGGGCTGAGGGGATGTAATGGCCTTCAGTGTGTGTTCCACAAAATGCCTTACCAACAGGACCAGAGTGGGCGCCCCCAGAGATCAGTCTGCACCCACGGTGCAGGGCCCAGCCCCGTGTCAGCAGCATCGGCTGACCTCCCTCATTTTCGTTCCTCTAACCTGTCATCTCCCTCCCTGTACCAGGTGTTGCAAAATCTTGGCAAAGACCAATATCCACAACAGTCACTTGAACAAATTGGCACCCGAATTGCCAAAGTTTTGGAAAAGGTAAGTCACTCTGTAGGAAAGCTGTCAACTGTTACCCACTTTGTAATTTTTCCCAGTTATTTGCCATTAGTGGCCCTAACCTCTTCAGTTAGTTATTTCGCACTTGGTAACTAAAAGGATAACATGAAACAACCCCACACAGAATATTTTAATCATTTTTCTGTGACTTTTTCCGTTACGTGGTTACTGTTCTTTTTTGCTGCTTTGTTTACTTTCTGTGCTTAAATTTATGTGGTCAGTTTTCTCATTTTTAGGCTACCATGGATAGATTCAGGTAATGCTACTAAGAACTTCGGAATCCGGGTATAAGAAATAAGTCAAAGGTTCATCTTCTGGTGATAAAGAATATTTAGTAGTTTGGATCATGGATGGGAACCATATCTTGAAATATCTTTTTTCTGAAGTCATGAAACAGAATATTTGCAAAACTTTGTTTTCTTACTTTATGGTTAAGAATCTATCCACTTATCATTATATGATATTGAAGAGGTGATGTAACAGTGATTAAAAGAGTCTACTCAACTTCCAGTATGACCACGGCAATATGGTAGGGAAGGGTAATCATGTCACTTTAAAGGAGAGGAAGTGCAGACAGCCATCACTATTCCATGGCAGTTCTGAAATTCACATGGCCAGTTGTCACCAGTTCCCCCAATTCCAGGGTGGGAAATACTCCTTGAATAGGGCCTGTTTTGGTCCCGTGGGGGTGGTTTCCTATTCTTTTTCTCAGCTCTTCTCTCTAGGCTGCCTTTCCTTTTCCTTAGAAGTGTCCTGTATTTGCAGCTGAAGAGCTTCCTCAGCCTGCTGCCTGTATATCCTTGGCACAACTTTGTAAAACTTTGTGGGCTTTCAGATTACAAGCCACTCAAAGAGGCAAAAGCCACGCCCACAGATCTCTTCAAGAGGCCCCTGTCTGCTTCAAACATGAATCCAGGACAATACCTTTAAGATTCTTAGATGCCTTTTGTCTGACAGTCTGTGAGACTTAAATCAAGATGCAGATCTTTCTGAGGTGGTAGTAACAGAGGGTCTTACTGCTGTGTTTTTGATGTGATCTCAATCCTGAGGCCATCGTTTTACTGGTAGCATCTGGATTTGATTTCTTTTTTGTCAAAACCTTGTGCTGACTGGAGAAGCTAGTAATTGAGACGAAGTTTCATTTTCTAACCCTGCAAGTCCCAGTTTGGAAGCATTTTCTCTAAATTCTGCTTGAAAATTGTGCAGTTCCTTGTTTAGTTCTCCTCTTTTAATGCTTTTTTATGGGTGATATTTAAAAAACCATTTGTCACTTTCAGCATTCTTCCTCAAAGCCTCCCTAGCCAGATCCACAACAATCATTAGGTATTTTCCTATATTCCAGATAGAGCCTCACTGTTTGTCTTGCCAGCAGATGATGACGCCTCTCCTCCAGCCTGCAGGAGCAGTTTCCTCAGTGCTCTTCCAACCTTCATTAATGTTCTTTTTGCTGTTCCTTCAGCAATATCCTCAACCCATTCTCCAGACTGCTGTCAGCATGCTCTAAGTTTCTATTATGGCAGCACTCTATTCTTGATACCAGATATTGTTTTCAGTTATCTTTTTTGCTTAATTAGGCCAGAATTGAGTGGCTTAAAACAAAACTATTACTTGCTCAAGACCCTGCAACCTGAGCTGGACTTCCTTCTGATCTGACTTGGAATCATCCATGCAACTACAGACATATGGAGACTCAACTGGGGCTGGCCACCAAAGAAATCTGGAGTGATTGGAATAGATGGGGCACAGCTATATATTGTCTCTCTCCAAGCAGACTCTCCAGCAGAGAAGCTGGACCTTTTTATCTGTTGTCTCAGGGCTCCAAGAGACTGAGAGCAAAAGCATCCAGGCCTTTTAGAATCCATGCAGAGAGCTGGAACAGCAGTGCTTTTACGAGTTCCATCCGTCAAAGCAAGTCCCAGGGCAAGGGAGATATCCTTCACCTGCTGGTAGTGCAAAGACTGTGGCCCATCTTTAATGGTGGATCTTTAATCCACCACAGTGCCTTTCAAAAGGAGCAACAATAAAACTGACAGCTTCTCAGTGGAAATGGTAAAACTAGAAGCCAATGTAATGACATATTTAAGGTACTAAAAAAGAAAACTGCAAACCTAGAATTCTTTTCCAGCAAAAATATTCTTTAGAAATTAAAATGAAATAGATATGTGTTCAATAAAAATTCAGAGACCTTGGCACCAGTAGGCTTGCACTGAAGTAAAAATTAAAGGGAGTTCTTCAGAAAAATGATCCCAGACAGAAATATGGACATGCCAGAGGGAAAGGACACTGGAAAGAAAATAGAGATGAAGACTAATTGTACAAAACGGTAACTGCGCTCCTCTGAGGAGCTTCACCTGTATCTGTAACTAAGATCCATGGAACAGTAACAGAAACGACAGCAGGGAAATAAATGGTGTTTAAAAGTTCTGAGTTTTCATTGGTATCGGCCAAGTCGTAAAAGAACGTTTGCACTGGACTGTAGTAAGAATGTGTGTTTTAAGTTCCAGGCTAACTACTAAAAATGGTTTTAAAATGTAATTCAGTGGAAGGAAAATGAAATAATGTAAAACATTTGATTAATCCAAAGAAAATTGAGACAGGTAAAAAGTACATAAAAATAGACCACAGATAGTAAAATAGTAAATAAGTATATCATTAGTTAGCTTCAGAAAAGATTTATAATTAAAGCATTTTGTATGGAATGGATTTTTTTAAAATCCAGAACTATATGCTGCTTATAAGAGAAACTCTTCAAATATTAGGACACAGAAAGGTTGAAAATACAAAGATGAAAAATACATCATACAGACAAGAAAAAAGGAAAGCAGATACAGCTACACTCTTTATTTAAAAAAAAAAAAAATTGAAGCAAGAAACAGAGTTAGAAGGGCTGAAATGGAAAAGATTGATAATACAAATTTTCGAGGTGATATGGAGCAACCTGAACGCTGATACGTTGCTAGTGAGAATATAAAATGGTACAGTTATTTGGAAGACAGTCTGATAGCTTATTAAAAAGCTAAGCATATATGATCCAGTAATTTTACTGCCAGGTACTTAATCAAAAGTGAAAGTGTTAGTCACTCAGTCATGTCTAACTCTTTGCAAGTCCATGTTCCTCTGATTCTCCAGGCAGGAATACTGGAGTGAGTAGCCATTCCATTCTCCAGGGGATCTTCCTGACCCAGAGATTGAACCCAGGTCTCCTGCATTGCAGGCGTATTCTTTACTGTCTGAGCCACCGGAGAAACACCATGAAAACTATGTCCAAAAATACTTGTTTAAAAATGTTCACGGCAGATTTATTTGTAACAGCCAAAAACCTGGAATCAGATACCCATCAATAGGAGAATTGATAATCAGTGTTATACAATGGATACTATTCTAAAAGACCCTATATCCATATTGATGAATCTCAGAAATATTGTGCTATTAAGTCACTGGACACAAAAAAACGTATGGTGTATGATCCCAACTATACAAATTCTAGAACAGGCAAAATTAACCTCTGGTGGTAGAAATCAGAAGAGTGATTGCTTTGTCAGGGGAAGGGAAGCAGCTTGAAAGGACTTTCTGAAGTGTTGGAAGTTTTCTGAGTCTTTAAGTAATAATCAAAACTGAATGTTATTCCTAAGGTCTGAGCATTTCTATTATACCTGGATTTTTAAAAATGAAGTTTAGATAAAGGTTTTAGACCACCAGAAACTGAAAGATACATGTTAATCAACAGACTTGCATTAAAAATCACTGAAGGGATTTTTTTCAGGCAGAAGGAAAACTATTCCAGGTAGAAACTCAGAAAAACAGAAAAAAGCAAAGAAAACACAGCAAGAGTAAATATTAAGGTATATGTAAATAAGTATGTTGATACTAAATAACAACAGTACTGTCTTCTGAGGTTATAGTTTATGGCAAAAGCAATATGAAAGGCAGAAAGGAATTACACTGACTGCTGTAGATGGTCTTAGATCCAATCAGACATTTTATACTCATGTAATTGGCCTCACTTAGCGTGGGCTTCACTCAGAAGGATTAAGGGGCCAGGACACCACAGCAGCAGCCGACTCGTACCTCCAGAATAAGCACTTACTTAGGCCAGGGCTGTTCTCTGCCCACCTTCTTTCCTGCCAAGTGACTTGAGGTGCGAGGGAGCAAGTCAGATGGTTAGAAGTGAGGACTGCCCTGACATAATGCTCTGAGTCCCATATGAGAACGAGTGTCTTCTGGAATAGCCCCACACGCACAGAGCAGGGACACAGTCAGCCACAAGAACCATGGTACTTAGAGGCTTTGTGGCTTTCCACCAGGGGCTTAGAGTTTTTCCCAGTCTTTCTTTTTTCTAATGGAAATGTTTCTATAAGCTATACATTTTACCAATTATACTGAATTACAACTTTATTTTAAAATTTTATAATTATAAAATTTTAGCAGTAGACTTGCAGTGAAACATGTCACAAGTGGTCAAGATAATTCATAATTCTCTGTGACGACTTCACTTGAGAATTTTCTTACCATCCTAAACATTAAGGGCAACAGTATGGTTAGAAGTAAAACAATAACTTTCAGTGTTGATAGAGAGACACACATTTGGTAAACAGTTCAATTAAATTAGTGGGGTTGATCTTACAGGTCCAGATGGTTGGGTCAGCTGCCTACCATCGCTGTTGTCTTCTCATCCTAGGGTGGGTCTACGTTTTGGGGTCAGCAGTCCTTACTCTCGACCAGTTTAAAGCAGAGGCTGTTTGTAAGTGAGAAACAAGAATTCCAGAGACAAGTCGCTTTAGTTTCACTGTGCATGAGCTAGTTAAGACCACCTGGTAATGGTCCTTTTATCTGGGATAGATACAGTCCTTTAAAGGATGCCTTTTCCGGTATGCATAATCTGGCTGAAGGTCATGGGCATTTGATCTTCATCCAAAAATTAGAACCTTGTGATAAGCTGATAAGGCTGTTGGGAACGTGCATGCATATGCATGCAGTGTCCC